GTCTAGAAGCCCTTTTTTTTTAATGAAATTTTAAGCAAAAAATTGACTGTTATATAAGTTCATTGTTCACTCAAAATTGATATACCTTACTTCTTTATACAGATTTTTTTTTAGGGTTTAGCCTAAGATGTCTATGCTTTTGAAGTTTAGCCTACTTATTTATCCTCTTGTAAAATAAATAAAATTATAATGTTATTGAATAAAGTGTCTTACACTATTCATCAATCACGAGCAAAAACATTTAGATTATAAAAAGTTACTTAGTCAACACATAATTATTTATGTGCATAATTGATACTTGATAGTTCACTAACAACCGAAGAACCGTTTTAATATTTTCTCAAAATACATAATTACTAAAAATAAGTGTGTGAGTAGATGTACACGTCATGCAAATCAACTCCAAGTCCAACCCTAATTAAGTGGAATTATTAGTGTGTAAAGCAGCCTTCCTTACGAAGGTTGAACCCCAACCTTGAGGACCCTCCACCTCCCCATCTCTAAAGCATTGTGGAGGTGGTAAATTGCGAGATGTGTCTCAGCAGGTTAGGGTACAAGAGCTGTCATATTGGTGCCCACAAAGAGTTCAATTTCATACCTTGTAAGAGGTAGGAATCGAACCCTCACACTGCGGCTATCAGTTTGGCTAAAACTACGTCACTCCTGTTCTTTGCATCACTGAACTATGCCCGGGGGCAACCTTCCTTATGAGTAGGCCTGGGTATGGTTTAAATTGGCTTCATTTTGAGTCCAACGCAAAATCGAAATTGACTAAATCCAACTGTTGAAACTGAACCAAACCAAATCGATTTGGGTCGATTTGATTTGGTTAATCGGTTTGGACATTGGTCTAAGCAAAAAAAAAATAAAAAATGCATGATTTTTTCAGCTTGCATAAAGTGTATCGATAAAAGAAATAATGTAAATGGTAAAGGGCCAATCTCCTCAAAGTCATCCCATATATCCGATAGTTTACAAATAAACAATTACATCAAAATGAAATTAAGGTTACAATTTCCATTTAATCAATGACTTAAAAATAGAAAAAATAAATTAACAGTGTATTTTGTAAATCCATAATTGCTTTTCCTACCCGGTTTCCATTTGGGAAAAAACTGAAATTGACGAGTAGAGATTTTAACAAGCGCCTTCACTTGGAAAAAAAAAAGACGACTACGATTCTCATTTAATATAATATTAGGTGCGAGCAACGTGTAATACACGTTTGTGTAGTTTATATTTAATAGTTTTGTTTAAAAATTAATTTGTTATTAATAAAGATGTAATTTTTTTGGTTAATTAAATAATTAATGATGTAATGTTTATGTAATTGATAAATAATTAGATGTGTGATTTTGATGTTGTGATGTAAGTTGGTGAGATAGAAATGCTCCGGTGTTTTAGTCTCATATTGAGACCTATTTTTGGCATAGGAAGTGATCGAATTGGAGAATGATGTCTAAATTAAAGTTGTAGCCAGATGAGTTAGCTTTCCAACGCATTTTGCATTGCCTCAATAGGATATCGGAATACAAAGTTATGATAAAAATACTAAACGAAGGTGCAGCTGCCTGTTTAAAACAAGAAATTCAGTTACATAGTCCGTTATATTAAGACCTATTTTTGGCATATAAATTGGTCGAATTGGAGAATAATGTCTGAATCAAAGTTGTATCCAGATAAGTTAGCTTTCCAACTTATTTTGAATAGCCTCAATCGGATATCAGAATACAAAGTTATAATAAAAATACTGAAAGAAGGTACAGTTGCCTGTTTAAAACAAGAAATTCCGTTACATAATCCGTTAAAACAACAAATTCCGTTAGTTTTTTCGTTAAAAACAAGAAATTCCGTTACATAACCACTTTTAATATATAGAAGATACACACAACTAGAAGACGAAAACACTCAATGAAGACAGATCAACCAAAAGAAGAAATTACAAAATTCACGGTAGAGAGAGTATTTGAGAAAGAATTAAGTTTGTGTTATTATTATTTTTAAGTTGAAAACTTAAGAATCATGTTTTTAGAATTAAAAAAAAGTGTATCAACGAGTTAAGTCGATTAATTAACGCGTTGATTGTTTAAACAACAATCGATCCGAACTCGACTTTTTAATAGTTAAAAATTGACTGAATTGAACAGAAATTTATGGTTCAAATTGACGTGACCCAATTCGGTTTAGTTCGGTTCGGTTGATTTTTTTTTTGCACACTCCTACTTATGAGCATATTTTATCATTTGTCTGTAATTTTAATTTTATTGCTTTTACTGGTAATATTAGCCTATTAACGTGTATCAAGTGCTTAGAAGTAGTAGTTTCATGAAATGTATAGTTAAAAAGTAGATAAAAATTGTGTCTAAGTAAATGTCTAGTTCAATTTGATGTTTAATCAACTTATAAACACTTAAAACTTTGCCACTCTGAAGTTTAGATATATTATAAGTAGATAAGTTAAAAAATGAGAAGAAAAAAAATGAAGAAAACAAAGCCGTGAAAATTGACATCCATAGTAGACGAAACAAGGTGAAAATGGGCTATTGCGCAAATGGGAAGCCTACAAGAAAAGAAACAAAAAATCAATATTGTCAAAATCAAATCGAATAGGCCAGTTTAACCAAAAAACTCGAGAACAAGTTATTAAACCGGTTCGATTATGACTTGAGCCCTTTAAACTAATAATCGAAAAAAATTGGTCAAAACCGAGGTCGAACCACAAACTGGCGACCCAGCACCATTATTTTTTATTTGACTAGTTCATTTTTTAATTGAAAAATGAAATCTCCAAGCCCAATGTCAAAAATGTTGGAGGTTTAAGGTCTGTTCTTTTGTCATTTTCAAGCCCTTTTTTGTTTTTGATTTTCCAAAATAGCGAAAAAGTGTTCTTTTTCCTATTTTCCAAAACATATTTTTGAAAATGACAAAAAAAAATAACACTAAAAACTGAAAACATTGGAAACCACGTTTTGAGTATTTTGAAGCCAAAACAGGGTAATTTTCAGAAAACACACGAAACGACTTTTCTCACTTATCCTCCCTCTCCCCCCTCTACCGTAACACAGGGCTTCCTCTGGTTCTCCTCTTCTGATCTCACAAACCCACAATCCAAAATTTGTTTGAGCTTGTGTTGCTAAGTCTACGGGTTTTCTACTGGCTCTTTCAATCCGGTTGTCTTTAATAAACCCTACAAGGAGAAAAAGGAAGTGGTCATGGCCGCAGCTAATTATCACTCCACTCTCAGCGTGCCAAAGTCTGCCGATAGTAAGGAAATTAAGGCTGCTTATAGAAGGTTGGCTTGGCAGGTACTAAACCCAGCTTGGATTTTTGGGTTTCGTTTCTACTTTTCCAATTTCTTAAAACTTTGGCACTTTCCTATTCAGTGTTAAAGTGATTGTTTTATTTCAAAATATTTGATAGGTCTTAAAGTTTATTATTCTTTTTAGCTGATCGAAGTTTGATACTTGCTCTAACCTAAAATACTGTGATTTATGCAGATTATTGAAAGTTTTGAAATTGTTGTTTATTTTGAAATGCTACTAGTACAAATTTTGTTTTGTGGTATTATAATATCGACATAGTAACATTGTCTACAAATGGTCTTTTAAGAAGACATTAATTGGAATCTTGAAAGCTTACTAATGTCCAATGGTGTTAATTGCGAGATTTTTATGGATTGTTTATTGGTTAGTTAATGGCAGTTGATGACTTTTCTCTGACGTGGATACTATGCACTTTTTTTTTTTCAAATGTTTGTTATCTGAAAATATACGGTCCATTTGGGTGATAGCGTAGATGAAGAGAGATTGGAGTTGTTCTTGAAAAGAGCATAATTATAGTTTATCACACAAAGGATTGGACATCATCACTTCTCTTAGAGGAAAAACTAGTTCATGCCACAGTTTTCTCATTTGCTGGTTTGAGAAGAATTCCTTAGAGGGACAAAGGATTAGTGGCCTTCACTTTTAATTCCCATCTGCACAGGGAAAAATTGAGGAATTTTTTTTTTTCAACCTGTATAATTGCTTCTTATCAGAAAGATTCTATTACGGTCCAGCATAGGGAAGCTAATCTAAGTGAAGGAATAAGAAGAGAATAACATCACTCGTAAAGGAAAAGAAGGTTGACATAAATGGGTGATGAAGTGGTTCTAGTGTAAGGTGACAAAAAGAGTTTTATGTCGAAGTATTGGCTCATTAGATGTAGGTGCTTTATAGAAGAGAGTACAATTAATTAAAACTTGTTCTCCTAATTCCCGGTACATGAATTCTGGAGATACTGGCGTTAGTAACATCATTGGTCTAAGGGTTTTATGTAGGAATTAGGGAGTTACAAGTTTGTCGTCATTTCAACAACTTGAAAGACCTTATTTCTGTTGAAGCCCCAAGAAACATCCTACAATCTGTAGGAGAGCCTTTGTCTTCTCCCTGTGTTCCTGAGTCTTTGTACTTACCCAAATCTAGGGGCGTTCCGGTCCTTGAAACCCTCACCGTCGCAAGTTTTTAGTTTTGCACTCCGGTTCAAGCTGCCACCAACCGTTGCTCTGCAGCTACAAAGACGTAACCATGGACGCTGCCACTGGTTCCAGAAATTAAAATTAAATAAAATGCATAAGGTAATATTTTTTTATTTTCATTTTTAAGAAAAATCAATTCGGCAAGTTTGCATTAGCTATGCAAGTCTAATATTGAGATATAATGAGAACTGAAGATTATATGTATACAGCGTTTAATTGTAAAATAAAATCATTACTATTGTGTTTAGATTAAACTTTGTTCTGTTTCTTTAGGCAGCTTACTTGTCTGGCTGGGATTTCATATGGTCGTTGAAGTCTTATGTGCCATCCCCAAGAGAATGATGCATCACATCATATGCGGATTAAGATTTGAAAATTTATGTTCATTCCTTAGCCTCAATGCCGACTAATGACGTTTTTTAATAGAATAAAGCCTTACATCAGTTTACTTGTTTTCATTCCTTATTTATGTTCTTGATTATATTCAATATTTATAATACAACTTTAAGTCTTTCAATCTTGCCTCAAGATTCAAAATTGATGTGTCCTCACCATAGATTCTGGGAAAGCTGAATTCCACGAGCTTCATTTTGAACCTCGGGTCCATAACTACAGCACCTGCCAAGACTAGGTTACAGTCCTCCCAATATCTAGTGAATTTCTCGTCCAATGATCTGGTAAGGCTGCTGACAAAGAGATCCGGGCTCATAGCAGCATGTATCAGTTTTAATTGAATCTTCCACAGTTCATGGAATAATGCATTCGCGGTCAGACATAAAGGGGTTGTTAGAATGTTGGCCACCTCATAGAAAATCTTCAAGTGTGCGCAGAGAGTTTCCACTTGTCTCCACTCGCCCATTGTTAGAGTGATCTTATAATCTGGATCAGAAGTATCCAGGCACGAAAATACTTCCTTTAGTTCAGAAGCAACCATCAACATGTGATATGTAGTATATCATCGACAATTATGTTCTTTGTACTGAGCTGAGCACTTGAAGCTGTTTGCTTCAGTTTGATGAACCTTTCTTCACGAGCTTCTGAAGTCTTTAATTTGTGTTTCAATTTTATGTTCTTTGCAAAGGATTGGTTGTAGTATGAACATTCAGAAACGTCATTTGAAATTACAGATGTTCCTAGTGTGGTTGTTAAAACAGATTTCTGATATAACAAATATTATTTCTTCATGTATATGATATCATTTTGATTATTTTTTTAGGTAATGATATTATTTCCTCGTTATATATTTGTCTAAGAAGAAAATTGATTTTTAAAATACAAGTGAAAAAATGGTAGAAGAATTATTTTTCTATTTTGTTAGTTGTTATAATCAAGAAGTAATGTTATTTATTATCACTTATGATAGTCATCGTGTTTAGACAATCAAAATTGTATTTGACAAGAATTATGAGAACTAACATGAACTCAATAAAATTGTAATAAGTTACATACAAGAACAAAAATAAGAATTTGCTAAATTTAATTTAGGTTATGTTTTTTATATTTGGAAAAAAAATATTTCAAAATTCACCAACTTCAAAATTTATATGTTATTTAATACCATACTAATATTAAACTATTAAAACTTATTGAATAATCAAATTTTTTGAATAAAATTTTATTTAAAAAATATTCTCAAAATTTCAAAGTAAACGCGTTTTCCATTTTTATGTTTTCAGAAACAGTTTTTAAGAATGG